ACTATCATTCTCCCTTCACGCTCCATCCTGCCTGCTCTATAACAGAACAATTAATCACTTCTCCTTTTCTCTACTTTCCTCTTCCTCCCCTCCCACTTATCCTCCTCCACCATCTCCCCTTCCGTCTTCCCCACTACCCTCCTTTAACTCCTCCAAATCTCCCTTTCCACTCATTCTCTCCCCTTCTAATTCTAGCATCCATTCCTCTCCTCCTCCTTCCTCGTCCAAAACCCATCCTACCGCTTCCTGCCAGCTTCCCTTTCCTGAATTCCATCTTCTACATTCTTTCCATACATGCTCCCACGTTTCCTTCTTATTCCCACACAACCTACACTTCTTTTTCTTCTCCGCTTCCCAGTATCTGCTCTCTCCTATCTCGTTCCCTAATCTGAATCTCGCCACCCTTCCCCATCTACTTTCTCCCCATCCCTTCTTCAAATATCCCGGGATACCCTCTCCCTTTATCCACTTATACCACTTATTATACTCTGATTTCTCGATCCTCTCCCATCTCTCTTTTCTCTGCGTCTCCCTATCCCCTTCAAACAATTTAAGAAACTATTCGTCTCCAACTCCTCTTATCTTTTCCACCTCTTTTAACCCCACACCTCTGTCTTCGAAGAACTTTCCTCTCTCTCTTTCCCAATCTGAGCCAGCTTTCCCTTCCATCTCTCTTTCCTTCAACTCTTCCCAGGCAGACCTCGCCAGTTCACTTCCTCCACCCTCCTCTAACTTTTTCTCAAATCTCCATGCCCTCATTCCTGCTCTCCCTCTTAATTTCTCCCTTTGTAACTCCTCCCTCACTAGATACCACGGTGTTCTCACGTTCGCTCCCAATACCCATCTAATGTACCTTTCTTCCATTCTTTCTATTCCTTCCCTTTCTCTCCATCCCCATATTTCCGCTCCATAACTCAACACCGTCCACACCAGTCTATCGAACAGCCACAGTCTTTTTCCCCAGTCTTTCCCGAATCTCCTCTTCCCTATCCCCCAGACTTTTCCCATCACTGCGGCCGCCTTTTTGATCTTTTCCCTTATTTGGGCTTCCTGCCCTCCATTTCTTTGAAACACGTATCCTAAATACCGAAATTCCCTCACCTCTTCTAACTCTTTTCCTTCCCATCTCCACTTTCTCTTACTGTCCCTCTCTCCTCCTTTCCTAAACCTCATTATTTTTGTTTTCCCCACGTTCAATTCCAATCTCTTCCTGCCCAGGTACCCCTCTAGTCTTTCTATCAGACTCTTCATTTGGTCCTCGTCCTCTGCGATTAGCACTATATCATCCGCGTAGGCCAGAGTATACACCCTCTTGCCTCCTAGCATTATCCCTCCCCATTTAACTCTACCCATTTCCTCTTCCAGGTCCGCTAGCAACACATTGAACAGAATTGGGCTCAAAGGGCATCCCTGTCTTACTCCCCTCTCCGTCCAGAATACTTCTCCCAATTCGTTTCCTCCTCTTACCCTACTCTTCGTCTCTCTTAACATCTCTTCCGTCCTTCTCACCAGTCCGTCCCTTATTCCCCTTTCTCTCATAGCTTTTATTAGTATTCCTCTATCCACCGAATCGAACGCTGCCTTAAGGTCCACAAAACATGCTATCAGTTTTCCCCCTTTCTTCTCTAACCTTCTGTTCACCATGTAGTTCAACACGTAAATGTTGTCTATCGTTCCCATTCCCCTTCTAAAACCTGTCTGATTGTGCGGTACCATTCTCTTTCCCTCTATCTCCTCCCTTAGCCTCTCCGCCAGAATAGCCGTGTACACCTTATACAAAGAAGGCATTATTGTCACCCCTCTATATTCCTCTGCCCTCTTTCCTTCCCCTTTCTTTACGATTGGCGCAATTATACCTTCCTTCCAAATTTCCGGCTATCCTCCCCCCTTCCATATCTTATTGATAAATTTCCATGCCCAAACCTCCAACCCCTTCCCCCCTCGCTTCCAGGCCTCTCCTGGAATCTCATCCTTTCCCATTGCCTTTCCGTCCTTTAGCTTCTTTATAACTCTCCTCATTTCCTCTAGACTTATCTCCTCTTCCTCCTCTCCTTCCTTTTCTTCCCTCTCTCCTTCCTTCCCCATCCTCACCCTCCCCTCTACTCCTCCTAATAACTTCATAAAATGCTCTTTCCATTCTTCCTCTTCTATTCCTTCCTCTATTCCCCTCCTTTTCCTTCTCTCCCTATTCACTATCTCCCATACCTCCGCCTCCCTCCTTGCTCCCTCCACTTTTCTCTCCCATCTCTGGTTCTCCTCTTCCTTCTTTCTCTTACATATCTCCTTAAATTCTTTCCTCCTTTCCTTGTACGCACTGGCCTCTCCTCTTTTCTTCCTCCAGTCCCTTAATTTTCTCCTTGTCTCTTTCTTCGCTTCTCGACATTCCTCATTCCACCATCCCACCTTCCCTTTCTTATTTCCCAGCTCCTCCTCTACCCCTTTTATTGCCTCTGTTATTCTTGTTTCCATTTCTTCCCATTCCTTATTCAACTCTTCTTCTTTTTCTTCCACCTCTCCTATTTTTTCTATAAACCTCTTTGCTCCTTCCTCGTTCCACACCCCCTGCTTCTTTTCTTCCACCCTCCTCTCCTGCCTTCCTCCTCTTTCCCCCTTCTTACTACTATTTCCAATGGGTGATGGTCCGAGTCTACTCTTTCCCCCACTACCATGCTTACTATCTTCTCTCTTACTTCTCCTTCCCCTATTATGTAGTCAATCACCGTATCTCCTCTTCCCCCCGTGAAAGTAAACTCCCCCTCCTCGTCTCCTCTCACATTTCCATTGAATATCTCCCATCCTCTCTCCTCTAAGCTATTTACCAACAGCCTCCCCTCTCTGTCCACCTTCTTGTCCTTCAACCTTCTTCCTTCTCCCAGTCCTCCTCCCTCCTCTTCCTCTATCCTCCCACCTTCTTGACCAGTCCTCGCATTAAAATCTCCCCCAATTATCGTATACCTTCCTTCTTCTTTCTTTTCCATTCTATCTCCTAACTCCTGTACGTTCTCCTCCATCCCCTCTTTCTTTGCATACACCCCTATAATACTCCAGTTCTTGCCATCTGTTCTGACCTTTCCCGCAATCCAACCCTCCCTATCTACTTCTATTGCCGTTCCCTTTTCTTTTAATCCTTTCCTTATTCCCATTATCAACCCTCCTATTGCTCTTCCTTTTTTATTTTTTTTCTTCGCCATTTGCACCCCCCACTCGTACCCTTTTGGAAGTCTCCCCCTTATTCTTTCCCAGCCCTTTTCTCCTATCCAGGTCTCTAACATGACTAACACATCTTCTTTCTTCAACCCTTCCCAAAAATCCTTATCTTTATTTTCCAACCCAGCTACGTTCCAGAATACTATCCTCCAAACTGACTTACTTTCCCCCTTTCTTCTCTTCTAACTTTCGCGTTGTCCTTCTCTATCTCACCCCCTCTATCCTCTTCTCCTCTTATTCCCCCATCTCCATTCCTACCTCTCCCTCTCCTCCTTTACCTTCTTTCCCTTCCTTCCCTCCTCTGCTCTCCTTTCTTCTCCTTCCCCTTTCGTCCTTTAACACCTCCTCTTCCATATCCCATCTCCACCAAGTATTTTCCAACCTTATTCTGCCTGCCTTAATCCATGCCCTCCTACCCTCTCTTTCCTCCCCTCTCGCTATCTCTCTCAACCTCCAATTCATTCTTCTTTCCTCCCACGATAGGTCCTCCGTAATTCTTTCCTTTCTCCCCACTAGGTTCCTCTTTTTTTCCATAACCTCCCATTTCTGTTCTTCGTTCTCCAATTTCAACAGCACCATTTCCCTTCCTTTTTCTGCATCACCTCCTATTCTCTTCACCTCTATTGCCTTTACTTTCGCTCCTATTCCTTCTAGTAACTTTTCTGCATTTTCTCTCCTCCCTCCTTCTTTTACTTCCATCCCTCTTATTACAATGTTTCTTCTTCTCTCCTCCTTTTCTTTCCTTTCCAGCCTTCTCTCCAGTTCTCTCATTTTCTCCCCCACCTCCCCTCTACCGTTTCTTTCCTCCTCCTTCTTCTCCTCCTTCCTCTCTTCCATTTTTCCTCCAATCTCCTTATTCTTTCTTCCATTTTCTCCTTCTGCTTATTTGTCTCTTCCCTCTCCTCTTTCCATCTCTTCTCTCGCTCCCTAAACTCCCTTCTCAGGTCCTCTATCTCTTCTCTCATCTTCCTACCCTGCTCCTTGAATCCCTCCCTTAGCTCTTCTCTCACTGCCCTAAATTCCTCCATCATTTCTCCCATTCTTTCTCCCAACTCCTTCACACCTATCTCCGAGTCTTTTTTAGGAGATCTTGCCGTCATGTTACTTCTCTTAAAAATCTCCTCCTTTTCCTCCCCCCCGCTCCTATCCATTTCCTCCCTCTTCCTTTTCCATAACTCTTCTATATTTCCCGTGCTCCCTCTTCTAACTTTCTCCTTTTCCTTAACCTTACCTATCGCACTCTTTCCCTCCCTCCCGTTTTCTTTCCCTTCACTCATCTCCTCCTAACTCGGCTCACTTCCCCCTCTAGCTCCACCACCTACTCTATGCCCTGCCTCGCGCTGCTGTCCGCGTCCCGGATCCTGCGTCGAGTCGCCCCTCTCTCTTCGCTATTGTTCGCGCCCTACCTCGAGCTGCCGCTCGCGGCTCGGCTCACCTACCGTGCGCCCCTCTAGCTCAGCTACCGTTCGTGCTTCCACCTTCTCAGTGCCTAGACACTTTACCTCCCTTTATCTCCTCTTACCTGCCCCTCCTTCTTACCTCCTCACTCTCTCACCTCCACACCTCCTCGCTCTATCACCCTCTCCTTCCTCAGCCTCCCACGTCACTCTCTTCTAAACCCTTTTGCTCTCGCTCACTTGCACACCTGTCACTCTCGTTCTCTCCGGAACCGGAAGTCTCTGT